AATGGATTTTCACCATTTGCAACTGATTCATCTTGTTCATTTATAACATTGGAAATAGTGTTGACCAATGGATCTGTGGTATTCACGCTTCTTTCCGATGAAACGTTTCCATCAACCAAATTTTCAAAGTCATCCCATGAGTTTTCAGCAATTGAATCTGATGCAAACGGTTCAGTTGTCACGTTGGATTCATTATTGACCATTGAATTTTCCATCCCATTTTCATTGCCAGTCGCACGGTGAAATTCATTCAAAGTACTTGTATCGTTTTCAGCGTTATTATCATCATGTTCAACGATCGATTCGTTGGCTTCAACTTCACTAGATGAATCGTTAAAATAGCTGGACGCATAGAATTGGTCGAGATGAGATCCATGAATACCATGCGATGGCAGTGGCATTTCTTTAATACGACGAATACTGTAAATTGGTGGCATCTTACGACGATGAGACTTTATAAAATCAACGGCAACTTCGAAATTTCCTATATTATATAAAAAATATATCAGTTCAAATATTTTGTAATGAATTGAATTCAATTTTGAAATGATTGTTTGAATTTTCAAAGAAAATGATAATACATACGGCTGAAGTGAACCAATCGACCAAAAAATACACCATCAAATTCTGCACCAACATTGACTTTGGTGATCAAATCGAGACTGAAATCTGGAATGTGATTTTTATCCGGCTGATGATCGTCGCCGAATGCGTCTGTATTTGTCGTGTAGTAGCACAAAAACCACTGATTTGAATTCAAACCATTGTTTATGAACTTTTCGTGATGGCTTTCAATGTCGTAAATCCATTCAGTTGGAATCACAACATTCATTTTCAATGGCGGCAAAAATACTACAAAAAACATTTTGGTGCGGCAGCCCGGTTCAGCAAATCAGTATTTATTGTTTATTTTTAAAGGCACTTGAATAAACACTCAGTCAAAACACAAGCTGGATATAAGAATATCACGTTACAAATGATTTCAATCGCTTAAAATGTCGGCAAGATCGTCGTTGTCTGCGTATGAATATATTGCGATTTGTTGTTCACCACGATTTTCTGGAATCAATTCAATTTCTTCAACAACGAAATGTTTCTTTAAATGTTTTTCAAAATTTGTTTCACACCAGTAAGTTATATAATAGCACGCAAATGTTCTGCTGCAAAGTGGGCATTCAATTGCACACTTTATTTGATCTCGTTCAAAACGATAATTTGTAATCGACGATTCCTCAAAAACTAACCCAAATGAATTCTTTTCCGAGAATTTTGCGAGTTTGTTTATTAATTTTTGTTTCAATTGTTGTTCGTCTTCCAAATCTCCTTTTGGCTGTACTTTTTGTTTTTTGTTGTTGTAGTCTTTAAGAGACTTTGGCAAGAGTTTTAGCACCGATCTATGGCCTGGCTTGAATTTGAATTTTGTATCACTTTTCACAACGTAATTGTATTCCGTATTTTCTAAAATGGTTTTATTGTTGTTAACAAACGATTCAATATCATTAATAATTTCGTTGTCTATCCCCAGAATAGAAGTTTCAGTATCGAACGAAGATTCGATCAAAATTTTTTGCAATGTGACCGGTAAATTTTCTTTCAATGCACGTGCAAGTTTCGCAATACAATGATTGGATGTCATCATGTCAACTGGAACGACTGATGTGTGCGCGTCGTTCAGCTCCATGTTTGCACACGAACTCGCGCGTTCGCACAAGTTCGCGCATGATGTTTCAATACGGAACTTGTCAACTGAGTGGAATCATGCAAGTTCTCTGGTGAATGTAACAATTTCGTGCGCGTTTATATCGTTTTTTTACAAGTTTTCACGTAGTTAAATCCCCCTAGA